CCCCACTTGGGGTTAGCCCAGACGTGTTTTTGTAGCGTTTGCCGGTTGCCGGGGATACCAAAAACCAATACCAAACAAACTCCATTCTTTGTTAGCTGGCGATAACTTTGGCTCTGCAGAGAAACGAAAAGGAAGAGAAAGAGTGTGAGAGAGAGAGTGAGAGGGCGCATTGACTGAGTGGGTGTTCCAGCAAGTGGCTAGAGTAGCAGACTGTTCGACTAAGAGCCATGAAAATGCATTTTTGGCAAATGTCAGAAACTCCGCACAGACGACAAAGGGAAATATTTCATTCATTTTCAGTGCTGCCCTCAAACCTCCAACTCTATGCATATTTGGGGATGTTGTGCGGCTGGGTTGTTGCTCCAGACGTGCCGCACGTGCAACTGCTGGCTGCACTTCAGCTTCATCCACAGATGCGGACAGCAGCTATTGATTGCCGGCCACTCCCTCAGCTTGTCGCAAAGTCTGCGCAAAGACAAAATCTTCCGGTTTTGATTTCGATTCATGCTGGTTTCATGGGAAAATCATGAGTCAACAACAATTTTGTAACGTGTTGACGGGTTTTCTTATGTGACGCTCTCGTTTACCGTTTTGTCTGTCTGCTACAGAACGGACTGGCTTCTCGACACTTTGATAACTTGTTTGATTCGCTGGCCCAGCCCACGCAATAAACATATCCGGTGCGCTCGCTTCGGTCTTGCCTTGGCCGTGACTTAATTGAGTGTACTCGGGTGTATGCCCTCAAGTCGTACTCCGTTCTCTGCCCTTAGCCCTACTCCAACTCCAACTGGCATGAACTCTGCAAACAAGTTCAACACAACTTTAAAAAACTAAAACAACGGTTGTCGCCGTTCCAGTTGCAGTCGTCGTCGCAGTCCATTCAACTGTAGCTCGACCCCCACAGCTGTTTCGGTTCCACTGCCGGGTTGACAAAACCTTTCTTTAGCTGACACGTTTGCTGCCTGTGCTGGGTTTTTAATCAACCTGACACTGGGCTTAGGTATTGTAGGATTGACTCTTATCATTCATTTACATATATCAAAGCTAATTAAATATGGAATCTACATTGCAGCAAACAGGGCAAAGTTTAATTGTAGAGCAAGCCAAGACGCTATGAGGTATTTCTCAACTTTGACTAGACATTTCAACAGTATTTTGCTATATTGCTTAATAATGTTTTTCATTTTTTATAGTAATCAAACTTAAGAGGCAGAAAGCCTAGAATATTACAACAGTTTGTCACCTCAGGGCAGGGTATTTCTAAGTTGGGTACTGAACAAAAAAAAAACATTTGATTATTCTAATAAATTCTCTGATAATACGGTTCATTTATTTAGATCGTTTTTTTGTTTTTTTTTTTTTTTTGTTTTTATATTTATATTCCGCAATGCAAACAACTCAAACTGAGCGCCGTTCAAATAATGATTTGATACACAGAGAGAAAAAGGTAGTAGACTTACTCAGGTTGTTGCAAGTTCAGAGTTAAATTGACATTGACACTTTAAGTCGAATGCATTTATATAATTAATTTTAATGATCAATATTAATTATCAATATGAACTAGATTATTTTCCCTAGTCCATTTGTAAGCTAATTATAATTCAAGAATACAGCTCTCATTTAAACGGTTCGGTTATAGATGCATAGAGGCGTGTAACACTGCTGCAACGACATCGAATCAAAACCAGTTTGGTGTAAGTAAATCTCTATATCAAATTTAAGCTAACAATGCGCTTCGCTGACTCTGCCTCTGAGTCGGACGCGACTCTGGAGGCAGCCCGGGTTAGCCCGGCTAGCACCTAGATAGATAGCACAGTCAAGTCGCGCACGCAGCACTGACAACAACATAGCAGTGAATCTGTTTCAATACAAACATTTGTCTCTTCATCTCCGTTCCGAGCAACTCAGCTCAATCTGTGCGCGCTTTTATTAACATGTTGCTGACCTTACTAGTTGGCGCTTTGACCCTGCTGCTGGCCTGGGACTTTGTACGCAAGCGCCACAGCTATGCCGTACTGAGCAAATCAGGAATTACGGGCCCCTTGTCGCTGCCCTTGGTTGGATGTGGCATTCAGGCGCTGCAGCTGGGCGCCGACAGTGAGTTCTAGTTCGCATTCCAGTCTTGGCTTTTATAAACTTTCTCTTCATCGCCCAGATATCATCGATTATGTTGGCAGCTGCTTCAACAGCTATGGCAAGACCTTTCGCTTGTGGATACTAAACGAGTCGCAGGTCTACACGACGCAGCTGGAACACTTTGAGGCCATATTGAGTAGCACCACTCTGCTGGAGAAGGGCCAGCTATATGAGTTCCTGCGCCCCTTCCTCAACGACGGACTGCTCGTGAGTGTGGGCAAGAAATGGCACTCTAGGCGCAAAGTCTTCTCTACAGTTTTCCATTTCAAAATACTGGAGCACTACGTGGGTATTATGGACAAGCAGGCCGACATTTTGGTGGACAGCCTGCAGCAAGTGGCCGATGGCGAGCAGGTGGTGGACACGCTCAAATACGTATCGCTGGCAGCCCTCGATATTATTACAGGTGCGTAGCTCATTTTGTGTAAGTAGTTCAAGAAGTAATTGTGGTATAATTTGCTTAGAGACGGCCATGGGCGTGCAGGTAAATGCACAAAGCGATCCTGACTTTCCCTATATAAAGGCGTTGAAGAGGTAAGACTCATGGATAACTAGATTTGGTAAGGAGTAAAGGGGTCTAAAGGGGGTTTTAATACAAGAAATATTATGGGGCGAAGATGAGCTAGATTGTCCCTATGTATAGATCCTAAGGAAGAAACGATCTATCAGAAAATTCCATTAAAATGCAACTCTATGGCAGAACCTATTGATCTCTTGATCTTGATCTCTTAACTCTATAACAGCGTACATCGACCTCAAAATTCTCCTATCTTGATGGGAAAATATATCAATACAAAATTCGCTCCCTTTATATAGGTATTAAAATGCCAACCCTAGTTGATGGGCTCTACTTAACTGTTTAATTAAATTGCGAACAGTTTTGGGGGTAAGGTGTGAAACTAAACGGGTTTTTATAGAGTATGCCTACAGAGCGATTACCGCATATTTGCAATGAATAGTTAGCGGGCATTYGTAACGTAACGTAATAATTGTGCAAACTTTCAGCGTCGTTTACATCCAGCCGGATCGCATGCTTAAGTTCTCTCAGCGCTATGAGTGGCTCTTTAGAGTTACGGCTCCATTGTTACACAGGAAACTGCTGAGCGATATTCGCATCATGCATGACTTCACCGACAAGGTCATTCGCGAGCGACGCGAGGCGGTGGAGCGAGCCAAGGCCGACGGCACCTACAAACCGTTGAGTAAGCCGAGATAACACTTGAATTACACTTAATTATTAACAACCATTACAATTAAATAATGATCATCTCTCTCATTTAGGCCTGGGCGATGAGGAAATTGGCAGAAAGCCGCAAATGGCATTCCTGGATATTCTCCTGCAGGCCTCCATTCAGGGCAGCCCGCTCACGGATGCGGACATACGCGAGGAGGTGGATACGTTCATGTTCGAGGGCGATGATACGACCAGCAGCGGAGTGGCCCATGCTCTCTACTCCATAGCCAGGCATCCCGCTGTGCAGGCGAAGATATATGAGGAGCTGGTGCGAGTGCTCGGCAACGATCCAAGGGCCGCCATCAGCCAGTCGCAGCTGCAGCAGCTCAAGTATCTGGAGTGCGTCATCAAAGAGACGATGCGGCTCTACCCGCCGGTGCCAGCGGTTGGCCGATATACGCGAAAGGATCTCAAGATTGGCGATCAGATAATACCGGCACACACCAGCATCTACATGGTGCTCTACTTTGCGCATCGGGATCCAAAATACTTTCCCGACCCGTTCAGCTTCAAGCCAGAGCGTTTCCTGGACGACACGGCAGAGGTAGATGGCAAGTCGCAAGCTGCCAACTTCTCCTATTTGCCTTTCAGTGCTGGACCCAAGAACTGCATTGGCCAAAAGTTTGCCATGCTGGAGATGAAGATGCTGCTCAGCAAGGTGGTACGCTATTACGAGCTGCTGCCAAAGGGCCCAGAGATAAGGCCCATGATGAACTTCATATTGCGCTCAACAACGGGCATGCATTTAGCCCTAAGACCAAGATTTAAATAGGCATCGATCAAGTTTTGTGTGGCATTACGAAAGTACCTTTCTATACGTAACATAAAGTACCTATCATATAAGTTCAGGGATCCTAAAAAGGAAATGGTTGTTGCTTTTAGAAATACGTGCTCTAAAGGCAAGATTTAAATATGAATTTGATGGAAGACTTTCTCGAGTTGTTTCATTGGTTTTAGAGAAGTTTCGTGACTCACAAAGGAAGTATTTTGAGTAAGATTAATTGGGAGCAGTAGTTAAAGCTATCTCCTACATTATGGGAGTCCCTTGAAGGGGGAATTTGAATGGGCTTATCATAAAGTAGGTTAGATAAACTGCAACCGCAGATGCATCATGCATCACATTATCTAAATTAGATCATTTGACTCACATGATCAATATTTGCCGAGATCGAGCATCAACACGTTGGCGGAGTGAGACATATATATATTTGTATAGCAAATCAACGGAAATTGCTATAAATTTCGGTTTATCTTTCGCTAAGCGCAAAGCAAACATCTATGGGCACAGATCTGGGTACTGCAACACTGTGCAGCGTCAACTTACTACGGCCGATTATGAATGTAATAAACGAAAATAAAAGTGCAATTAGCGTTTTCTTAGATGTCTGCAAATAGACCATAGAGAATACTAGCTTGACAAACAATCTCAGACGTAGTTTCCACACACCATTTGATGAATGACGTGTTTGTAAATAAACAAGCGTACGGATGGAGGTCTATTTATCTAGTTTCATTTACGAAAAAGAAAAAAAAAATCAGAAAAAATTCGCAAGATGATAACGAAGGAGAGATCACATAATGAGCTTATCAGACATCTTCAGTCTGCATATAAAAACGGGTGGAAATAGACGCACTGCGCCAAAAGCAGTTCACATTCTAAACTCTGCAGACATGTCTCTGGGATCGGTTAAGTCTCTGGTAATCCTGGCCGCAATGCTGGTCGCCTCTACCGAGGCATTGATGAAGCCATTGCCTCCCTATGTGGGCATGCCCACCCAGGATGGTCTGACTCGTCTGTTCTTTAGCTCTCGGGTGACGCGTCGCGATCCGATGATATCGATGTCTTGCTTTGCTGGCTACATTGGCGAATCGAATCTCATAGCGGAACAGTACAGTGAAGCCTACAGCGCTTGTCTGAAGGACGCGCAGAGATCACGTCGCGGCATCGACATCGACTTCCTGCCAACTCGCAGGAGCATCGAACTATCTGCCGAATCTGTGTGTAGGGCACTAACTAAGTGTAACAAGGTCAATGGCACGCTCGACTCCTTCAATTGCCATGCGGCAGCGGTGAGTAGAAATGACAGCAGGTGTCAAGAGTGAAGCTAAGTCTCAATATAATCCCCAATAGGGTTCCAACAATACGATTTCCACTTACGGCATTTCGGGCAATGCCTCTGAGTCGGCCACATTGCTGCAGGAACGCTACCGCCTAATCGATCTGAATCATGAGAAGTGCAACAACAAGGCCGAGCGCAGCTACGTGGAGTCCACCGCCAGCAACTACAACTACCTGCAGGCCTGTCTCGATGGCCGAATTAGTCCAAAAGCTATACCCACCACAACCAGCACCAGCAGCAGCTCAACAACGACAACGACCACAACGACGACGACGACCACCGAGGCGCCAACCACGGCGGAGCCAGTGACCACGGAAGCACCGGCCAATCTCGAGGATCAGTTCAAGCAGCTTTTAAACTTGCTAAACTAATGCCAAAGCGCATTGTCAACTTCTTTGGGAAGCTCTTCAAGAGCTAACCATCTAACACTAGACAGCAAATATTTATCAAAATATATATTTAAAGCACATGTCAAAAACCAGAAGAGATCAACCTTGTATAAGCAGCAACAACAACTTTCTAAATTCTTTAAGAATTTCTAGACTGGAGAGATAAGTTGATATTGCTTAACTACTACAAACTATATTAGCTGAAGAAGGTAATTACACCCCGAACATATGGCAAATTAGTATGAGGGGTATAATGATGCGCTATATTAAAAACAAGCGATTAGTAGAGTCAATAAAATATACATATTTATTTAATATATTATAGAAACCCTAGAGAAGGACGGATTGTTTGTCTACCCATTCATTAGCATCTAAATGTGTGCATATCTACACAATACAATATTTTATTATAGTATAGTATAGTATAATTATACTATAGTATACTATAGTTTACTTAGAGTACCTACTAGTCTCAGTTAGAGCCTAGGGCGTCTGCTAGTCAGGCATTTCCATATATACATAGCTTAGGGCATTTGCTAGTCAGTCAGTTCCGATTATAGCACTTGCTTCTCTCTGACCTTCGCTACTTAGACACATGAACGCGAAAGAATTTCGAGATAATCTACCAGAGACTCTCCCGTCTTTATTAGCACTCAACGATAATTGGAGACCAGATAACAAAAAATATATAAACAAAAACATTTATATAAAAAATCTATTGAAAAATTATGATGCTTATAAAAGGTTCGATTAAAGCAACGCTTCTCAAATAATTCTTGGTACTCTGAGCTAGAAATTAATGTGTTTGGAAATGATAGGCCATATAAGGCAGACAGGTAGATAGATAATCAGACGCATTTGGCAAACACGATTGGGCAACACATTTGCCTTTTATGGAGCTGAGTGTGCGCCTTTTATGTGCGGCAGCTTCTCAAAGTTTCCGCTTTGAACTTGTCTAGGGCTCCAAGAGACTCAGGCAGACACACACATACACACACACACTAGCACCTGTTGGCCTAAAGCAGGTGGCTATTTATTAGCGCAATTGGCATGGTATGCGAAGCAGCAATTTATCTGGACAAGATCGCAGTCTTATGTGTATCTGGATCTGGATCTGGATTGTTATTCTTGGTATCCAACAATGGTGCAGGAATTCTTCAATGCGTTTTATCGGCCGTGCTGCACACGCTTTGGGCATGGCCAAGCAGGTTTCTGAATGCAGTTAATAAGCATTAGAAATGGAAAATAAAACCAGTTGCAGCAAAGTGTCTTAGACGTGAGGGGCAATGAAGTAGGAGCTTTAATCGTTAAGCTGCCACAGCAATAAATATTTAACGTGTGATAATTAAAACACCTTGATAAACCACATTAATTCAAGTCGCATAGAAAGCCAGAGAGAAAAGTTTACATATTATTTATAATTAAATCAAGCAAATTCCAGCAGAGCTTAAAATTTATTAAGCTAAGAATGAATAAAAGACTCTTGCTACCTAAACACGTATTGTCTGTATATAGTACTTGGGTTGAGATTAGAGTAGAGCTTTACTTATATGCAAAGATTAGTCTGTCGTCAGCCTCATCAGCATGAAAGCTCAATTATAGCCTGTATGCATTAAAAATTTAAAGTTAGGGTATGATGACTTTATGAAAGGGTATGCAGCAGGCTGAAGAAGGCCTAGCAGAGTACATCAAGTATATATAAACCAGATCTGGACAATGAGCTGAGTCGAGCCAGCCATTTGCCTGCCTGTGACTCCAAATTAAACCAGCAGACCTCATAGAGGCATCTCTGCTCAGCAAACAGGGTATCTCTAGGTCGAGCACTCCCAAGCTTTCTTTGTTTGTTGTTTAGGCATTCTACAGCTTATTTGAGGCTAATTTATGTTGAAATATAATTACAAACACACACACACATACGCAGACACACCTGTGCGATTCTACACGGTGATGAAATAGGAGGCGGCATGGCTATGCAGCCAGCCCACCTGACGGAGTCAGCTAAACGAGTTTCCATAAAGTTTTCACTGGATCGAATGCGAGAACCAAGCCAAACAAAGTCAAGAGTCAAGCATAACAAAAAAAGCAAGCAAATCAATTGAATACTTTGCATAAATAAAAGTGCATGAAGTGTGAGTGTGGTTGTGTGTGCGTGTGTGGATAACTGGCCAACTCAGTGCAGGTGCAGGTGCAGCTAGCTAGTGCTCAAGTTGTCCCCAAAAGCAGCAATAAATAAAAATTTCAAGAAAAAAAGCAAAATGCTGTACGCAAAACTAGTTTTACGACGACAACAACAACAACAACAACAACAACGATACCAAAGCCGAACAGAAAAGGAAAACGTCGGCGGCGTTGCTGCCTTTTAAGGCATTTGCTTGCCGCTTGCTGCGCGTTGCGCATGCGCCGCGTTGATCAGAGTGCGCGCGCGTGTGTGTGTGTGTGTGTCTGCGTGTGTCACTTTGCCGCGCTTGTAGCTCGTTGCGCATGCGCCCCATACTCTCAATTTCAATGTGTATGTGTGTGTGTGTGTGTCTCGTCACACGTCTGTGTATTCGGGTCATTCGCATTTTCACATTTTAAGGCGTGTGTGTTTGCATGTTTTCTTTTTGGAATTTTTTTTTTTTTTTGTCTGCTTCTTCTTCTTAATGCAATGTGCCTCACTTGCGGTTTGCAACTTTTACTTGCAACGCCTCCTGCTGACCGTTGCTGCCTGCGATGCGACGACGGCGATTCGAGTGCAACGCTTTGACTGTTGCTGTTCCATTGTGTTCGTTACTTAATTGCGCCAAAGTCATTAATAACCGATTAACCAGAGGAGCGAACATGTTTTCCAGAGGATGCTGCATAGCGTGTGGCATGTCCGCTAAGGAAGTGGCAACGTGGCGAAGGCAATTACGAGCATTTAGCTTGCAGCTATAATCTCAATCTCAGCATGGGCTGCATCCCCATGGTAATTTGTGTTTCCTGCCTCACAGAGTTCCAGCTGACAGAGCAATAAGTAGCTACATCATTTGAATACCATATAAGAGCTAAGCGGCAGTGATAGACTAATAGCTACCCTGTCCAGCAGTTGACAGGAATATCTCTAAAGGGGGGACAGACACCCTTCAGCATAAACATTTACTATCCGATTATATTAGATTATGGAGAACAACTGTCAGGCGATGCGATGCGCTGTCAATGCCTATCTAATCAGAAGCAACAGCAACAACAATTCTATCTAATTGATTGAGTGACAGGCGGACAGTTGAAAGCAGAGGCACAGCATGGTTAGGGCTTGCAGAATGCAACTCAATTGATCAAATAAACATTTATTGTGTGTCACGCGGGCTGACAGGACGCCCAGAAGGCGAATCGCTGATTGTGGTTAGACACTAGCAGCCAATGGCCCTAAAAGGAAACAGCAAGGAGGCCGGCACAGACTGCATAGCCTGAATATATCAACTAGCTGGAGTGGCAGACAAGACAAAGGAGAATTGAATGAACTGAAGATGTGAAACAGTGCAGATAGACATAGACAGAGGCAGAGACTGAGGCAGAGGCTGAAGTAGGGACAGAGACAGCGACGACAATGCTGAAATAGTAAATGCCCGATGATGATAACACAGTCAAGAGACAATGCAAACTCCGACACAAAGAGCTGGCTCTGTGTTCGAGTTCGAGTTGCAGTTGGACTCGGAGTCGGAGTTCTACTCTTAGCACACGCTGCTGCGGCGATTGGAGCAGTTGATTTGCCTTTGCCGCTCGGCCAGCGGCAGATTTATGAGCAGTTGTCAGACAAAGCGAGACGTGCAACGTGCAGCATGCAGCGTGCTACAAAGTAGCCGAGACTCTGGCCACGCCACAGACAGGGCAACAATCTTGCATGCCAAGTTCATTGTACCAAAGCCTGGATGCTGCTGCTGCCACAATCTACTTTTTTCTTCTTCTCCTCTCCATGGTTGAGCTGTTGAGCTAATGAGTTGTCAACATTTTGGCTGCCAGCAAATAGAACAAGAGAGAAACAAACACAAAGAAATTACGGAAGAAACATCGTGCCAGACATAAACTCCTCGACTGACTCTCAAACTGTCCGCATCAGTGCCCTCCCAACTGCAACACACTCATGTTTGCGTAATTCAACAATTTGCAATTAATTTTCATTAAAAATAAAAAGTAATTAAGTGGGCGCAGCTGATAGCTGATTAACAATTACAATTACAATTACCACAGCAACCACAGCGTCTCCTTCACATGTTTGTGCACACTCTAATTCTACTTAATTATATATTAAAAGTAACAAAAAAACGAAGCACCTAATTATAGCTAATCTCCCAACAATTCTAACATTTTTTGGCTAATTCGCTCAAATGAGAAAAAATAAAATAAACAACAGAAATTATTCAAGTTAAAGCAGATTTTTATAAAATAAAACTCCAATTTGAGCGCATTTGGCAAGCAAACATTGTCTAATCAGCTGGAAAGTCTGAGCTGAGCCCGTCTCCAAAAATGTGCGAAAAAAAGTGAAAATAGAAAAAAATCGGCATATAAATAAAAAAAAAATGTATATTCATATATTTATAAAATTAACGAATATATTAAGAGCTTGATAATTTATTGCCAAAAATCGATAAATCGAATTATGTGGAAAATAGAAGACGGAGGTGAGTATTGAATACAAATTCAGTCGGATGTGAAATTACGCGAGGGTAGTCTATCATTTTACCCAACATAAATTGTGTTCCATTTAATTCGATATTCGAGTTATATCGAGTTTAGTCAACAAATTTTATGCCTATAAATATTTTTATTATTTTAGTTAAAGCAAATCACTTTCATAGATTTTTAGTATGTAGACTCTATTCAATATTTATCAACATCTCTATATATGACAACAGCAGCATATCCCCAAATATATCATCATACACAGAGTATTTCAACTCCATTATGCCCATTCCCACACCTAATCGATTTTCCTCAATAAACTTAACCTTAAACGTTATTATTAACTATGCACATATTAGTATGATTAATGATCTTACTTTAAGCGAGCACACCTCTTCTCACACATTTCCGTTGCTTACAGGGTATGCAAGTTGGACAAAAA